ATCACGCCCACGTGGTTGGTCGCAAACTGCGACTCGATGCCGTCGACCGAGAGACGAAATGGCACAGCCATGATGCCAGCGTTGTTGACAAGAATGTGCAAAGGCAGCTGCTTGGCGATGAACGCAGCGACAAAGGCGCGAATGGACGTCAAGCTCATCATGTCGAGGGCCATAAACTCAACCTTGCCAGTTGTCGCACTGACCTCGGCAGCCAAAGCGTCGACGACGGGACCTGCGCGCTCAGCGGACCGGCAGGCGAGGATGACGTGGCAGTTGTGGAGCGCGAGCTGGCGTGCAGTGACGAGGCCGATGCCCGAGTTGGCGCCAGTGACAATGGCGACTTGACCAGTGAGGTCCGGTATGTCGTTGAAGGAGAAGGTCATGGGGGAAGCAGGTCAATTTACGAATGGGCTGGCGAAGACGACGGCGTGGTTCACGCCATGGCAGATTAGTATGGATGGTTTGATGAGTATGCGCGGAATCGCTTCGTAGTGGTCCTTGATTGGTTGGCACTATTTGAAGCGCGCATTGTGATTGGTTGACGAAACGGTGTATCTTTCTTGAAGCTAGCGCACGGGCTTTTTTTGCTGGACTAGGGACCACGACATCCATGCAGCTGACATCCATGACAGGAGCGATAATTGTGTAGTAGAAATGAGCCATAGTATGAAGAATATGACGTTATGCGAATGCATTGGTCGATCGGCGAGACAAAACGAGGTGGCAGAACTCTGTTGTCGTTGAGGCCTCGTTATCAAGGCTGACAAAGATGCATGACACGAGGTACTCAGCAATAGTTGTCAAACCCAAACCAAACACATTGGTATGGAAGCCCCTACGGCATCAGAATGAATATCCCGCCGTTGACATTCAGCTTTCCAGTTTGAAACACTGGATACCACGATCTCGCCGTCCAGGCCGTTGGATCCGAGCTTACAACAGCCTGTCTCGAGCGCACGTCTCTTGTAATGTCGGCATTGACATTGCTCGTGAAGACATACATCGGAAAATGGTTCGATTCTCCCTCGCAAGGCACAATTTTGCGGTCTTGTGTCCCCTTGATCACGTCATAGCTCTAGGAGCGCAAATCTTCTACACATGTGTGCCTACGAATTCATTGATTGAAGCATCTGCGTCTCTAGGTGTGACGCTCATCGTGGACGCGACTGGAGATGCAATCCACTCGAGATGAATGCCTCCCTGCTTCAGAGGAGCATTTCTCATGTCGACGTCATTTCGCGCCGGCGAATCGATCTCAATATAACATGTTGTTGTAGTCCTTCACGTCAACGCGCTAAGGGCGTGCGGCGTTGCATTAGCGTAAAGTGACACCGCTGTTCCGTGCGCACCAAGGGATAGATAGTACAGCATTCCCTTGGTCTGTCGGACAGTCCAGGACGGCGCACCTTCCATCAACTCGATATTTCGAAACAGTAAACTAGAAGAACTAAAGTACTAAAGCACGAACCATAAAAGGGTTGATTGCCATAGACAATGCGACTTCGGCGCTGGTGCAGGTGCTTGGACAGGATGTCGCGGTGGCGCTTCAACGTATTTCTGCCCATTTTTGCGCCACAAGCCTCAAGTGTACTTTGAAACATTATATTGGACGGGCCCGCGGCCCATTGCGTGGTCAAAAACCTCTCAAAGTGCATTTTCAGATTCTTGAAACCCACCGACAGCAGCATGCGCGTCCGGCGGACCACCGGCGTCCTCGCGCTCGTCGCCGCCGTGTCGGTCCATGCACATGCGCCTAGCATGGCCTTGCCACCCGAGGTAGCGGCTCACTGCGCCGCGCCCAGCTCCGCGGCGATGGCCGAATCCGTGCTCCTGCAGACCTGCACGACGGCGCGCGAGAGCGGGCCGACCTCAATGCGCGCTCTCGTCCGAGCCTACGTGCCTGTCGAAGCCATAATCGATGGCCTCGATGCTCTCTTTGCCATGCCCGAGCTCTCAACCGACGTCGATGTGGGCGAAGTCGCCCATGCGCTCTCGGACGCCGTCGTCGCGTCCTGGGCCGCCTTTGTTACCTG